ATATATATATATATAAATTATATAGTTTTACTAATCAACTATCATTGTTGTTTGATATTGCAGCATCAAATGCAGAAAATTTTATAAAAGATACCTCGTGTAGTATCAATAGTCAGATCTCAGATATAGACTTTCTCTCAGATCAGTGTCACTTAAAAAAGCAGTTTTTGGGCCCATTAGACAAGAGTTATGCTATGAAAGTAAAAAGAAAGGAGGAAAAAGAGAAACATAAAATCAAGGCTATTGAAAAAGAGAAATCTAGAAAAGAAAACATAAAAGAAAAAAGTTTCAATGTATTTGATAGTGAAAACAAAACTCATAATAAAAATGAAGAAAGTACTATTGCTAGACAGAAAAAAAATATCAAGATATTAGAAAACCCTAAAGTTTCTTTAATGGCTGATAGGTTGAACCTATCTAATAGAGAAAGATCTGGAATCTCAAAAAGCACAGCAAACAGATCAGGTAATAAAATTCGAAAGCAAATTTCAGATGATCTTAAGAAAACATTCATTTCACCCATGTACTCTTCCATTCACTGGGATTTAAAGCTGGTATCTGAAGTCAATGGTTAAGTGGAACGTTTGGCTATAGTTGTAACAGGAAAACCAAGAGCACCTGAAGAGAAATTGCATTGGGTATCCAGGATTCCTGATACAACTGGGTGAAGTCAGGCAACAGCTATCATAGTTGCTGTAAAGGCATGGAAACTAAAAAAAACACTTGTGGCAATGATTTTTGATACAACTCCATCAAATTCAGGTTGGACAAATGGTTCTGCAAAGTTAATTGAAGAACACTTTAACAAAAAGTTTCTTTGGTGCGCCTGCTGACACCATATTTTTGAAAGAGTTTTGTCTTCTGTTTATTTAAAAGTTTTTGGAGAATGTAGATTTCTAAATTATGAGCTATTTAGCACTATAAAAATGAGGTATGGCCTAAGCTTTCATTTTTTTGTCTGGTTTACTTAACTGGAAATCTCGAAAAATATTAAGAGATGATTATTGAGAATGTTTGTCAACTTGCTTTGCAATTACTCAATCCAAAACAAATAAATATACAGTGGCACAAACCTGGAGCCTTCCATCATGCTAGATGGATGTGTACAATCTTGTACACATCAAAAATGTTCGCTTTTGCTGACCTGGCAGAGTATAAAGAAAGTTTTATAGAGAAATTGTCTTGGTTTTGTAAATTTACTTTACTATTTTATGTGAAAATATATCTTATGTGCACAAGCACAGTCGATACCCCATTTAATGACTTGGAATTCTACAAAGAAATGGTTATTTATCAAAAAATTGACTATGATGTTGCTGTTGCTGCCCTAGAAATATTTAATCGGCATCTTTGGTATTTCACCGAAGAAATCTCCCCTCTTTCATTATTTTCTGATAACATATCTGATTGTGATAAAACTAAAATTGCTAAAACAATTCTGAAAAATATAAAAGAAAACTGTAAACATGATATAGGCTTTCCACAATTTCCTTTTTCTGAAGCAGAGTACTTGTTTGACTGATTTAATTGGACCAAAACCAAGTTTTAAATTTATTTGGATATTCAAATGAGGACAGTGGTTGGTTGGTAAAATCCCCAAAGTTTTGGAAAGCTAACACAAATTTTAATCACATGTTTGAGCATATCAAATCACTGAAATCTGTAAATGATACAGCAGTTAAACTAGTTGAACGAGCTTTTAAACTAATTCAAGACTATGCAACATCTATTACAAAAGATGACGAGCATAAAGAATTTCTTTTACATGTAGTAGAACACCACCGAAAAGTTCTTCCTCGCATAAATAAACAAACAATTCAAAAACTTAATTTTTGAAAATATGCTTTAAACAATCTCTTTTTTATTATACCTTTAAAATATTGTTATTTTGTTGTTATAATTTAAAAAAAATGAGATTTCGAATTTCTTAGTACTTATTTCCATTGTGCTTTAATATTATTAACTTATACCAATCATTTCTTTGCTTCTTTGTTTAACAATTGAGTATTTATCAAATTTTTTGTTTTAATTAAAAATTAAAATTTATAAAGTTCCGTATTTAGGCAGAAAAAAATCATATGACAAGGGTATTATAGAACGGATGGGGGGGGGTCATAAACCAGGTGAAAATTTATTTTTAATAAACTTTTATTTTTATTTATTAGAAAACAATTTGAAATTAAAATAACAGTTAATTTATTGGATATAAAGAATAAATATATAAAAGGAGTGATATGATATTCTCAAGAATCCAAAAGTTATTGCCTGAAGAGTGAGGAATAACATTAGTAATACTAAAATGAACTCATTTGTACATTTGATGACATCTGTCTGTGGAGATGCTTAAAAGATAAATTTAAGTTCCAGTTCCAAATTCCAAATTTACTCATTGATTAGAAATGCAACAAAAACATCATAGGCATGGTCTTTGACACAACATCCTTGAATACAGGTTAGGCTTTAACAAAGCAATTATTTATTAAATTTTGTGATATGTTAATAGTTTATTAAATTTCAAATCAACAAATCATTTTTGCACAAACTGTAGGATTACAAATACTGTGGAGGTTTTAAGTAATGAACTAATTGTAAGGTGTTAGGCATAAGTTTATTAAAGAATTAATTCACTCATTCTTTACATCGCAGGACAGCATACTGCAACATGTTTCTGCCTACAGAGAGAGCTAGATCATCTCTTGTTGAGGTTTGCATGCCGCAGGCATGTAGAAAAAGTCATGCTTAACAGCTGTTGGGATTTATTAAATATAGAGGCTTTATCTGGTCCAAATATTCAATTTTTTACACTCTAAGCGTAATGCTTTTACAACATCATTGAACAAAAAGATTTTTTTAATTGACTAAATATACTCAAGTGACTTAAAAATGACTTAAAATGACTCAAATTGCTTTAACTAATAAAATGATTATAAATTGTTGCAACTTCCACCAGTTAATAAAGCAAACTTTTACTATCCTAAACTTCCTAGAGCAACTGAGAAGGAACAAGAAAGCTTAACAAATTGCTTCCATGAATTCCTAGCATTATGTTTCACTCGAGGGGATTACCAAGAACGTATTGTGAATTCTCCGTATGAGTTCCTTCAAACACCAGCCAATAAATGAATAAAAATGGATGACTTTCTTGAAATGAAAACAATTGCTTAAAGTCTTCAAGTGGTCAACAAAGCTGCTGAAAAAGGAGTAAAGCTATGTTATGATTTCTTTGGTACAACAAATGACAAAGAAAGGTTTAAAGATATATTTCAAGTAGTTGAAAGTTCACAAAAAAAAGTTCCAGACCAGCACAAACTGTCATCATGTTCGTAAGAAGTCGAAGTTGCTAGCACTGGATGATGATTGATAATTAATTACATAAATGAGGCTACAATTTTTATAATAATTAATGAACATTATATTAGATAATCGGAGAAAAATGTTGTTTTTTATCCTTAAAGTATTTTAGTCTAAAAAGATGTAAATTCAATAATTTAACGTAATATTCAATTTGATTGTGCTCAATTTTTAGAAAATCTTAAAAACATATATATTTCTAATGTATATAAGATAAAACCGAGTTGCAAAATTTTGAACAGTGGTTTTGCGAAAAGGTTGGGGCGGCTAGGACACCCAATATAAATATATGTATATAGTTAATTCCCAATAATTCAAACTTCCGGGGGACAAAGGAAAATGGTTCAACTTAACATATTTTGGGTGAAACATTAGCTCAAGTTATTCTTTATTTAATGCTAAAGTATAAACAATAAATATAAATCATTAATAAAAGCGTAAACTATGATTCACTGAAAATAGTTAAATTTTCTATTCACAATGTACACTCAAAGATAACATTCAAAAAAGTTTAGCAACACAATGACTTCATTATTTATTAATAAAATTGTGTCTCAAAGCTAACAGACTTTTATTAAGAAATTCATTAAAACTGAAAACAATTTTTTTTTTAATGATATTTTATTATGATTTACTTTGTAGCAGTTTCATTACAGCATTATTTTATATCTGATAACAATCTATTTTATTCTGATCTAAATACAACAAAAAAATTAGAAAAAATTCGGCTACTGTTATTTATGTTTTATATGAAATGGCTTCTTTGAAAAAAATTTATAAAGCCATTTTGATTTCTTTATTTGCCATACAAAAAGTTCAAGTTATTTGAAGAAATTTGCTGAAAGGTGACAAAAAAAATGGTTCAACTTAAGTTCGAATTATCCGAGACTCAACTTAACTAGAGAATTTTAATAGTAATCAATTAGGTTTCAAAGGGCCAATTGAAACAATTTCAGATGACAAAAGTTTGAGTTCTGCTTACCAAGATTTTACTGTATATACATACAGTATAAATGTAAACATATATATAATATAAATATAATAATAAAAGTCAACTAAGTTGTTGATAGCAACTAGTTGAACTTACCATTTGAGGAATAATTAATAGTTAAATTGATTATATGAAACATTATTTAAGGAACTTTTAATTAAATGTTAGTTCAAACTCTTTTTAGACTAACTTTATATTTATATAAAGTCTAAAAAGTATTTAATTTTTGAAATATTAACATTTATGCAATATTTATGCAATATTTATTAACAAAAACATTTTTTGTAAATTTTATAAATATTGTTCATTATATATTATAAATATTACATTATATAATATTATTTTGACTACAATAAATAAAAATAATAATTTATTTTTATTTATTGTGATATGCATTTAATTGTATTTAATAACAATTGTTTTAAGAACATGTTGTTTTATTATTAAAATAACAATTTTTTTTTATTTAAAAAAAAAAAAAAAAATTTAATTTTTTTAAACTTTTTTTAAAAGATTTTAACTTTCAAAAGATTTCACTTTTTTTTTTAAAAAAAAGTTTTTTTCTATTATTTGTGCCAATATAAAAAGGAATTTACCAAAGAGAAAAAAAAAAAAAAACTTACCAAAGAAAAAAAAAAAAAGTTAGTAAAAAAATTACCCCTTTTATTGATGGTATGTACCATAACAACATCCCAATAACAAACCCTCCTAACAATCCAATCACAGTTTCCAAAGGGCCACGAAAAATATTAAATAGTAAATTACCTATTAATATATACAAAAATAATACAACCTGAAACAAAACTAATATATAATAAACAATTAATGCTTAAAATATTAATTTATTATTAGATTTATATTTGTTATTATTTAATTTATTTAAAAAAAATTAACTTATTAAATATTTATAAAAACTTATCAATTTCATTTACCATCTGAAAATGCAACACCATAAAACACGCCAAACAAGCTAATAGCAAGTACATCATCACATGATGTTGCAGCTACCACAAGTGTTGGCACTCCTTTTTGTATGCCATAGCCTTTTTCTTGTAAAACTAATACTTGCGGAACAACAACAGCGGGTGAACCAGCACTCAAGATGAAACTAAACATTTTGTAAACAATTTAACTAATAAATTACTTTTTATCTACACTTTTCTAAACCTAATAATTGTTGCTAGAATTTTTTTTATCTCTATATTAGAGATTTTTTATTTTAATTATATAAATATAATTAAAATAAAAATTAATAAATATAACTTTTCTATTATTCTAACTTTTCTGTTATTCTATTTTACTATCTTTTTTTTAGTACAAAAACTATGAAACTTTTTCTAATGCAAAATAATATTAATAGTAAATGACAAAATTATTTAAAAAAAAAAAAAAATCAAATTTTGAAAACTTTTATCAATTTAAAGATTTCTTACCCTAGCTGAAAACCCCATAACCATGGCATGCCCAATATAAAATAAGCAGAAATAGCTATTGTGACTGCTTCAGTTAGACAAGGAGTAAAAGCCAGTCTTGAAACAGTATACTTTAGTTTTTTTAAAGCTTGAATGTCCAAGCCTAATCCTGAACGCAATAAAATGACAGCCAATGCAACACTTCGTAAATTTGAAGACCATTGTGGATTAATATCTTTAGCAAAATCAATGTTAGGAACATTTCTTAAAATAAATCCAACAACCAACATCCCAAAAATGGGAGGCACTGAAAACAGATTCAATAAAAAACCAGCTGATGATGTGCAAATCAGTAAAGTATATATAGCAAATATATTTCCTCCAGGCAAAGCACTTTTTCCTGTCATAGAATACAATGTACCCCAAATGGCTGAGCATAAAAGTATTATGGTAAAAAACTTTGCAGGCTTTCCACGAGGCGGTAAGCATTTTTTAAGAATCTTGGGGACTTTAATAAATCCTTTAACAGGTTTCTCACAAGACTCATCTGAAACAGAATCATTTTCAAAATTTGCCTTTGTTTTAAAACCATTATCAACCAGTAACAACTTAGTTTCCGCAGTATTTTTACACGAATCAATTACATCATTATTAGATTCTGCCATGTCTACTTTTTTAACAAAAACTAATTATAAAATAAAATTTTATAATAAGTATAAGATGAAGATAAAATTTGGAACAAAAATAAAAATAATAACTTTGAATAAAATTATAAATGATAAAAGGAAAGTAAACAAACAATGACAGTTATAAACATCCACAATTCAAAAAATATTATTACCCATATATAAAATTTTTTAATAATAAAGTAAGTAGTAGTAAGTGCGTGAGAGATCTAAACTCTGACTTAATTTTGTGACTACACTTAACTTATTCCTCAAAAGAGTCTTCAAGCTTTGTTTTAGAAGATTTTTAGGAGTGTTAAAAAAATGTTTAAGAACAAAGTTCCAACTTACCCTTATCATATTTTTCCTAAACTCTTAGCCTTAAACATATCGAAATAAAAAGAATGAAAAGATAAAATTTGAAAAAAATAAAAAAAATATATAGTTTATTTTTTTTCTATTATTATACTTTTTACAACTTTAAAGGCAAATATAAATAATAGAAAATAAAAAGTTAGGTTATTTTCATATTCTTTATGGATTCAACAACAAAGTTCAAATTGTCCATTGTAATAAGACCTTCTCTTTTCGCTAATTCATCAACTTCAAACGATCGACTGTCAAAGGAAGAAGCTAAGTCATGGTTATTCTTACTAAGTCTAAATAGAGGAAAAATGTGTGTGTGTGTATATATATATATATATATATATATATATATATATATATATATATATATATATATATATATATATATATATATATTATATACATATATACATTATACATATATACATATATACATATATACATATATATGTATATATACAAATTAGTAAAAACACCTATCTAATTTAAATTAAAACAAGAATCTTAAGATATTTTTTGTAATAAATAGTTGATTTATACAAGAATTAAAAAAAAAAATAATAAAAACTTACAATTTTAATAAAATTAGCCCAATATTATGCCACTGTTTTGGTTTCAAAACAATATTTTTACTAGTAAATCTAAAATAAAGATATTAGTTTTAAAAAAAATCAAATTTAAAAAATCAAATTTAAAAAAAAAAATCAAATTTAAAAAAAATCAAAAAAAAAAACTAAAAAAAGAGAACATTAGATGTTAAAAATACTAAAAAGAGAACATTAGATGTTAAAAATTAGGCAACATTTAAAGTTTAAAAGCGAGTTTATAAAACGTCTATACCTATCAGTTGTAACTATTCTTTATAAAAATGATAATAAATGATTACATAATTCTTTCTGAAACATTTTTCTAATTAAGAGTAAAAAACTTGAAAAAAAATCTGAAAAAAATAAAAGTAAAAACTTTAATTTTTTTTTGTACAAAACTGTTTAATATTATTTTTAATATTATTTTTAATATTATTAAGATATTTTATCTGAAAAGTGAGTAAAAACAAGTGTGCAAAAGTATTAGCGCACTTATTTGCAAGTAGTGTACTTATTTCAAAAGTATTAGCGCACTCAATTAATTCCTTTGAGAAATATTTTTTTATACTCTTTTTGATTGATATTTGTTAATTATCTTGTATATTATTTTGTTTATAATCTCAGCTGATTACCAATATTCAATAAAAATGTAAGCAATATAAATTGTAGTGAAAAAATGTCATTTAAAAAATAGTTAAAATTTCAAAATTGCAACAACAAAAATATGAGTTTAAAGAGCATATCAATTTAAAAAAAAGTGGCAAGTTGTTGGCATGATCAGACGTCAGCAGGTAATCAGGGAATGCAACATTAGAACAATGCTCAAAAACTATAATGAGTTTGGCACAGTGAAAGACAAAAGTTTCTCTGGTTGTGCTAAAAAAATGTCAGAAAGGGATGAAAATAAAGCAATTATGCCTGTTAGACACAACCCCGACATGAGTATAGCTGAAATTGCCACAGATCTGAATATAACAATGGATGCACAACAAGTTAGCCAATCAACAATTAGCAAGCTGATGATGAAAAAACAACTCAATTCATACTTTGCAACAATTAAGCCACTACTAAGCATCAAAGACTTTCTCAAGCAAAGAAAATGATTTGATTTGAATCCTATTGAGAATCGTTGGAGTTAAATGGACTGCAAATTGCAAAAAAACAAGCCCACTAACTTGATGCAACTCAAGACTAAAATGTGAACACTGTGGAATATGGTGTCACAAGATCTAATTTAAAAACTTATAGATTCCATGCTGCATAAAGTCTTGGCATGCCTTAAAAACAAAAGTGTCAATATAAAATATTAAATTTTCCTAAAATCTTCAAAAAATTTTAAGTTCATTATAACTTTTGTACACCTTTTACACATGTAGAGGGTGAGAGCAGACATTTTATTAAAAAGTTGTTTAATGGCCATTAAAATATATGACGAACAAGGCTGCTGCGCGCTCAACTTGTTTCTCCGCGCAGCAGCCTTGTTCGTCAAGGTTTGTGTTTCGGAGTTATAGAGTTGAGAGAGGGTTATAACCGCTATTAAGTAGCCTCCTCGTCTGTAGTGGCCTTCTTGGCCTTGAGGAGGTGAATAACAAAAAATAGTTATTCAATGGCCATATATATATATATATATATATATATATATATATATATATATATATATATATATATATATATATATATATATATATATATATATATATATATATATATATATATATATATAAATCTATATATATATATATATATATATATATATATATATATATATATATATATATATATACATACATATATATATATATATATATATATATATATATATATATATATATATATATATATATATATATATATATATATATATATATATATATATATATATATATATATATATATATATATATATATATATATATATATATATATAGTGATTACTACTAATTGATGCATGATGTGATGAAATAGGTAACTGCAAAGGCTTCAGTACATACATCAACTGACAAGGTAGAACACGCAATCTTTATTTTTTCTGCTTTTTCTCAAAATTTAAACTTTTTCTTCAGATGAACTTTGGTTTGAATGTAATTTAAAAGTAATTGGTTTTATTTAATTTTTAAAAAAAGGTCACCCTCCATGACCCTTGATTACACACTGGCCATATATCAGTGAATTTTTTCACTGATATATGGGAGCACTTTAAAAGTATCAACCTGGGTCTCAAAAGTACCAGATTTTATAGTGATTTCAAAATTCATAATCTTTTCTACTGAAACTTTAAAAAAAAAAATATTGCAAACAAAATGTCATAAAAAACAACCTTTTCAATTTTGAGTTAAAAGCTGTTGTTTTTTGTATATAAAATTTAAACATTTCATTTTTATTTGAAACCATTATTATTTCTGAAATCTCTATGAATATATAAATATATATATATATATATATATATATATATATATATATATATATATATATATATATATATATATATATATATATATATATATTATATATATTCATTATCTATGACTATTATAAAAAATTAAAAACTGAATAAAACAAAATTACCGAAATGTATCAACAAGTGAAAAGAATCCAAGTTCAGAGAGATCTGTAATTGTCATTCCAACAACAGTTAAAAGGTTTTTTAAACTAAAAAAAAAATGTTTATATTAAATCCTGTGGTCAAAGAAAAATGAAAATTATATACAACAGGAAGAAATAACCAAACAATAGAGATCACAACAATCTCAAATACAACTTTTACTTGTGCAACTATGAATATCTATTAAAACATAACTATACAGTAAAATTTTTTGAAAACTGGAGATAAAGTAAATATTTTATGAGTTACTGTTGATATTGTTTGTTAATTACAAAATCATTAAAATTATGACATCAATAAAACTCAAAGATGTTTTTTTTTACATTATTGTACTGTAAATATTTTTTGAATTGGGTTTTTTTTAATAGTTTGTTTAAAATCTGCAATGAAGCAAAAAAACAAAATCTTATCCTCAAAGAATTTACTTTTGAGCAAGCTTGTAAGAGCTTTCAGTATTTTGAAAAACACAACTTTGAAAACTTAATACAAATTTAACAAACAATACTTGAAAGGCTTAATAACTTGTTTTAGAAAACATTAGTTTTCAAAAAACAAAAAAATAGAAACAGTTATATGTTTCAAAGGAGATGGTTGTTATGATTGTAAACAAAATGGTGTCCAAAAGAGTCCAATCAATTAAATTAGTTTAAATCAAATAAAATGAGCATTAAATCAGTTCATAAAAAATAAAAAAATAAAAAAACTGCTCTAGACTTTTGAACAATTTTTTTTTTATTTTTTTTTATGACAATTCATAACTTCACACATTTTAGACACAGAAACTAGCTTTTGCATACTAAAGTCATTTGGAATTCTATGAAAGTGCCATTGAATATTCAAATAATTTTAATTTAATCTTAATTTTGCAAGTCTACAAATACTCGGTAGATCTACTAATCTTTTGTAATTGCAAATCTTGTGAATGTTAATTCATGCACAAACTTTTTTTTTAATGGAATAGTTAGAGTAAAAGGAGGTGGCTGAGGGGTAACTTAGAAGGTGACTGTACTAAGCAATCAAAAAATGATGACTTTTTTTTTTTTAAACGTATTAACAGATATCTAGTTAGGTCATTAGCAAATAGAGCCACTTTAGAGGTAAGATTATCAGGAAAGTTGTTATTGTAGAATTTTATCAGGTGATGATGATCAAACATTTAGATGATGATGATGAAACTGTCAGATGACATCTTGCATACTAGGTGATCTTGAAGCAACCATACTAATTACAACCCCACCCGCTGTACCATCCAAAAAATATATTAAAAGGGAAAAAAAAAGATAAATGTTTAAATGCATTTATAAAGTTCTTAGACAACAGAATTTTAGATTAAATTTGAAATATACCAATAAACATTGTTCTAACGTATGATGACTAAAAATCTAGACCATTTTCAAATGAAAATTAAAAACTTTTGATATTACATTTAACATTAAATCAGTTTGATAATACATTCAAACAAAACCTTGATGTAAGCTTTTCTTTAACAATTCTTTTTCTAATAACAGACTGAGACTTTGAGTCAACTATTAAAGGTGGAGTTGATATATTCTAAATTAAGAAATACATTTTTATAAAACATATACAAACAAAACATTTTGAAAATAATGATTATATAAAATTCTATTATGAAAAAATTAAAAAAATAGAAGTATAAATTTATATAATTAGTATAAATTTATATAATTTATAAGTTTACATATAAATTATTATAACATATCATTTAGCCAACTTAGATAAAATAGATTATTTGTTGTTTAGAAAATAGATTATTTGTTGTTTAGAAAATAGATTATTTGTTGTTTAGAAAATAGATTATTTGTTGTTTAGAAAATAGATTATTTGTTGTTTAGAAAATAGATTATTTGTTAAACTATTAAATAGAATATGTATAAACATCTCTCTTTAAGCTTAAATTAAAAAGCCTAAATTATGGCTTAGCTATGTTAAGAGCAACTTACCTAAAAGAATAAAAATTCTGGTATAAACCTCTGAATTTAGTTATATGTACAGGTAGGAATGTATATGTATAGGCAACAAGAACTCGCCTGAACCTTGAATTGTGATTTTAGTGGTAGTTAAAAATACCAATAATCTGAAAAAAATAAGTTGATGTCAGGAAGGCCATCTAGTTGTTAAAAATGGCTGCAACTCTTCAATATTGTCATATTTGAATAAGAAAATAGCATCGCTATCAACAAACGAAACAAAACAAGACAAAAATTATTTTTTATATAATCAACGCATTTACACACAAAAATATCATACATATTTCTAAAAATAAATGTATGCATAAAAATATTAAAATATTTATAAAATTAAATATTTACCAATGCCAATTATTTGTAGTAAACATTTAATTTATCTTTTGACTTATTAGCTAAAATTTAATCTTTCCAGAGAATAAAATAAATATATAATATAATATAGTCTCACGAAATAAATACGCAATTTAGTATATTTAAAATCAAGCTGACAAAGTTTATCATTACGTTCAAAAATGTAAGAGTTAACTATAATATTCAAAGAGGTAAAGATCTATATTTTAAAAATGTAAATTTTAAATTTTTTTAAATATTCTTGTAATCATATCTAAAATATAAACTTTACTTTTTTAAAATAATTCTTCAAAACCATTAATTTAATTCAAATTATGAAATGGTGTTGTTACCTATAACTACATATTTAATGTTAAAAAAAAAAAATCAAGTTTTTCAGTCACTTTAGATTGCTTTTATATAAATAAACCAGTATCAATAAAACATTAGGAAATGTACACTTTGAGCTTTTAAATCCATAAAAATTATGACGTTTTGAAATTAAGCCTTAAACACCCTTTTTTGCCTTATTCCGCTGTTATGGATATTGTAGTTTCACTTTTTTAATAAATAATTTAAACTTGAGTGAAAGAATATGGTAAAAAATTGGTATCTTATCATTTGTGAGGGTGCTGGATTAAAAAATTTAGAGAAAATTTGCTTTTTTAAAATTTTTATGGTTATTTTTCAATTTTAAAATGGTCAGTCACATTTTCTGTTCCATTACCATGGAGTTGTCCAAATCTCATGGATTTAGTATTTTTTGAATGAAAGAGGAGACCTTAGGCTACTATAGTAAAAAATAGGGTTTTGGTCTTTTAAAGCATAATAAAGATATGTGATTTTGAAATTTAGACAAAAATTCAGAAATTATTTACATTCTCTTACATTCTCCATTAAAAATATTTTAGTAATACTATTTTAACAGAAAATAACCCAATTTGAAGAACATATTTGTGTTTCAAAGTACATATTTGTGTTTCAAAGTACATATTTGTGTTTCAAAGTACATATTTGTGTTTCAAAGTACATATTTGTGTTTCAAAGTACATATTTGTGTTTCAAAGTACATATTTGTGTTTCAAAGTACATATTTGTGCTTCAAAGTACATATTTGTGTTTCAAAGTACATACTTGTGTTTCAAAGTACATATTTTTTGTTCCAAATTACATATTTGTGTATTTGATAATTGTTTTTTGATTTAAAAAGTCAAATATTTTGTTTTGTTACCATGGGTAGCACTTTCACTATTTTCTGGATTGTTTGATTTCTGTGGGTTCAGTTGTGATGTATATAAATAGTATATATAATAGGTCATGTGTATGTTTTAACTTCAGATTAAACAATTATTGAGTCTTATTTGGTAATTCAGTTTCTAGACCATGGTAAAAAGTAAACAGTGATTCATTAGAATCAAGCTAGAAAGTGCTTGGAATTAAATCTTTTGAAGACACTCCTGAATATGAAAGAGAAATATTTCAAACCAACAAACTATCTCCATTATAAACATGTTTATATGATACATTATACAATTAAATTAACATGGTTCTGCAATACATTTAATACCCATAACAAAGTTAAAAGATGTTTATAGTAGTGACAACTTTTATTTTATTTTATTTCTAATGTTTTTTACCTTCTTAAGGCTGAGAGGGTTACTACAGTCGAGGAGACTTTATTGTGGTTACAACCCTCTCTTAATTCTTTAAGCCGCAAAACAAACCTTGATGAACTTAATTGCTGCGTTATAGAAAAAAGTTGAGCAGAGTACTACCAGGGTTGAGGCGGGGATTGAACTTAGAACTTTCTGCTTATAAAGAAAGTGCTCTACCACTACACCACTTGCACATAACTTTGCAAACTTGAACAATTAATGCAATTCTTGGTAGCCTAGTTCTATTTAAGCTATATTTAGTTTGTTTTTTTTATTTCTGAAAGTACACAATTAAATATCATATAACTTTCAACTTTTAATGGTTTTATCAACATTTTTATTTATATGAATAGTTTTTTTTTTTCAAGCAATCTTCATTTTGCTCTATCCTGTATTGCTGTATTAAGTTGAAATTAACTTGGATACAGCAAACTCATACGCAGTAAAGGCAAATTCATAGTACCATGTGAAAAACTTTGTCACAAGGCAGAAAAAAATTGGAATCAGAAAAGAACAAGGTTGAGATAAAATTTATTGGAGATGTTATGAAGCAAAGAAATGAAGCTGGAAACAACAAGACCATTGCTCAACAGTATTTTGTACTTGAAGTGTCTTCTTTAAAAGTTCTTTACCCAAAACTTCTAACAAACCATCACATGAAAAGAGAAAGATAAAGCAAGTTAACAAATCAGTAATTAAGAAATTTGTGACTGTTAAAAACATAAAGTTCTTAAGAAGATTCAAATTGAAGCTGGCGATCTAGACTTCCTTATTGAATGCACAAAAGAAAAACTTCTAAAAAAAAAAAAAAGTAACTAACTTGGTTTATCAGAAAAGCAGCAAAATTTTAGAGTTTACAAGAGTAAAGTTCAAAGTTTTTACTCAATCTAAAAGGCATTATAGCATATCCTAATTTAATTAAACTGCATCAAATCAGCAAAAATGTTATAATACTTTTTATTGTATACAAAGTAAATGTTTTTTTAAATATACAAAGTAAATGTTAGGTAAAAAAGACTATGTTAGTATTGGAAGAAAAAGTAACCAGATCATAAAATTTCATTACCTAAATTTCAGTCTTTGTCCTAAATGGTGCATCCTTGCTGGTCTGAAAAAGTACAGATTCTGTTTGTGTGTGTACAATAGGGTAATAACTATTTTCATTTTTTGTTTTAATGAAACTGAAACCTATCACATTCGAGGAACAATTATATGCAGATGACAGTAGCAACATTAATTTTTTTGTTTTAATTGAAAAAAGTTCCCCCACCTTTCAATTTTATTTTTTCTTATATCGCTCAATGAGGTATTTTCACGAATAAACAATACCATGATAATGATCAACGATCACGTGATGGATAAGAGATGTTTTTTGATTACTTTGAGCCTATTTGTTTACATAACTATAACCTCTCAATCACTGATCTGTATATATTATATCTATGCTCTCAAAAAAAACAAAAAACAAAGCCATTATTTCGTTATTAATCGATCAATTATACTTATCCATCACGTGACATTTTTAAAAAGTTTTCCGGCTCATTAAAATACCTCATTTGTTTAACAATTTAAATTTCACACTGACTTTTTATGTAATGTTCTAGGCTGCTTTTAAGCACATTTCTGTCAACTGTCTGTTTCTATTTGTTTATAAGAAAAATATATTTACAGATGGTAGTTAACTTTTTTATTTTTATTGATCCCAGCTTAAACAGTGGAAACTCCAACATGGGGCAAGTTTAGTAAAAACAATTATTTTATTATTGATATATTTTATTTTCTGTTTCAGGTGCAAACATAAAATATATATATATTCTGGAATATTTTATAACATTTTGGAATATTGTAGATTAATTACCTCGTTTTCAGTGCAAGATTGCAAGTCGTCCAGAAAAGACATTTTTTCACTTCAAAAAAATTTCTTATAGATATTCCAGAAATAGTATAGAACCAAACAGGTGTATCTGGATAAAAAATCTATCCTATTCTTCCAAAAATAAAAGAAATCCAAAGATTCCATCTGTTGAAAAACTAACCAATCTCACACGGATGCCGATAAACCATCAAATTCTTGGAAACTTCACTTTTTTGTTCAATAGCGAGAAATGGCGACTGGATCGAATCAAGATTATGATGACAGATATAAAAAAGCTTTGGGAGGAAATTCTAGACTTTCCACTGTTATCCAGCACACTAATAAAAAAGAAGCTCAACAGTCTGATTAATTTATTTAATAAAAACAAAAAGAAACCATCTGATAAATTCACTGCAACACTTTCTCAGTTATTTGATGTCACTAACATTAACGGAGAATGGAAAAACACGGAAGATAAAAAGCTCTACCAGAGGCAAGTTGAGAGTGAAGGAAAGATTGGTTATTCAATAGTCAAACAAGCTCCTCTGGAATCAATCCACCCAAGAAAACGAATCCGACTATCAAAAACTTAATCCCAAGCCAGCACTTCTCAATTGCATCCCACATAAACACATAAAACTGTCTCAGATTCTTCAGATTCTGAAACTTCTGCTTTCTCACCCAATTCGCAAACCTCTTCTTCTACGTCATCTCCTGAATGCA